ACTGCGGTCAGCGCCAGCCTCCTGCTTCGTTCCGAGTGGCTGCTTGTGGAACAAACACTGTTCGGGTAAGAAAACCAACCAACAAGCGAGAACCCCACGGCCCTGCTCGCGGGCACGTCCCGGGGAGTCAGACAGACTCCTCTGAGAGGCGAGAGGCAGGAGGCGAGCGTGGGCTCCTGCCGGGGGGAGAAGGAGCCCCCGAAAGACCAAGACGTGGGAAGGCGTCCGGCGGGAGTGGCGGTGCAGACGCCTCGAAGCAGCCGCAGGAAGCGGAGGGAGGGGAGGCAGGTGCGGCGACAGCCAGGGCAGGAGTCTGGGTTTCATTGAAAACACCAGAAGCTGCTGGTGGGCAGCAGGCAGGGCCTGGGGTCTGCACTCTGGCTGCCCCGTGGGACTCGCCTGGGGCTCGGGGACAGAGCCGAGCACCCCGTCCTCTGCAGACCAAGCCCCAGAAGCGCCCAGGCCGAGGCAGGCTCCTGCCCCGTGGGACCCTGGAGACAACGCCATCAGCTAACACAGCCTGAGCCCCGCGGCGTGAACACACGGCACGATTTTAAAAGACGCAAAGAGCACTCTGAGGAAGAACTCCAAAAAGGCAACGTTAGTCCATGAGCAGAACATGTTTTCTCAGCAAAGACACATTCTACACCCACACCTTCCAGAACGTGAGCCGCTCCCAGACTTTTGAAAAGGTGACGAGCAAGAGGCTTTCGAGCGCCTGACAGCAGCTCCATCGGCTGCGACAGCAACTTCCTTCCTTCGCACCGTGCCACTGCCTCCTTCAATCTCAGCTCTCGGCCCGGGAGGTGGGAGCATGAATGGCTTTCCACTTCTCCCACCCCCTCCTCTTCCCTCATCTCCCTCCTCATCCCATCTTGTCTCTCGTGACCGTTTCTCACAACCATCTTGTGACACTACAATGCATTTGATACTGTTGCTGTATGGATTAGATTTTCTTGCTTCCTGTTTCTAATGTAAATGCTGGTAAGTAGAACATAGGATGCACTTTTTTGCTTAAAAAGCTCCAAAATGCTGAGGGTAAGTCCCTGCCTGTGTTCCGCTGGTGCTCGTTCCACCGAGATCCCCCTCTGAGCCCCACCACGCAGTAACCTCTGACACGAGGGGACGGTCTTGAGTGACAGCTGGTTCGGGGCTGAGAGTGAAATTGGCATGAACTTGAACCTCCTCCTCAAGGTGCTTTGGGGCCGCCCGCGAGGAAGGAGCCAATGGCCAGTCTCTCTGAGTTCAGCTCGGTCTCCCTGCCCTCCCTCCTCTCCTCGCCCCGGGCCCTCCAGGAGCCCCTGCGCCCAACCCAGCAGGTGGCTCTTCACCCTGCGGGCCACCCTCCCAGGGGCACCCTGCCTGGGCAAGGCCACCTCCCAGGGCCGGAGAGAAAGGCGGGGGCGCGAGGGGCGGGAGGGCTACTCACTGATTGACAGCGTCTTGAAGTTGATCGTGGTGCCGTTGAACCCCCCGGCGCTGGTGCTGGCCATGACCCAGACGTAGTAAGAGGTCCTGCGCGTCAAGGACTCCAGGCCACACTGCAGGGTGCTGGCGCCGACCGTCTTGGCTGAAGGAAACACACAGCAGGTCCGACTGAGTAAGAACCAGGCTGGGCAGCTCACACCCGAACCCGCTTCTCCTCAAGACGAGCTTATCAAGGTGACCAAGGGCCCAATGTAGGAACTCAAACTATAGAACGCCTAGCAGGCGACCGGGGAAGAATCAGTCTGACACCAAACACACAGGCAACAGAAGAAAATAGACTCCGCTGGACTTCATCAAAATTAAAAGCTTCTGTGCATCAAATGACACGACCAGAGTGAAAAGGCAGCCCACAGAACGGGAAACATTTGTGAATCAGGTATTTGATTAGGAACTGGTATCCAGAGTGTATTGTAAAACCTCTTACGACTCCATAACTGAAAGACAACTTAGAAATGGGCAAGGAGATCGTAAAGACTTTCTCCGGAGAAGGTACACCAAAGGCTACCAAGCACACGCCACGATGCTCAACCAATGCCCATCAAAGCCACCTTAAGGCAGCACCTGTACTGCCAGGGCCGCCATGATGGTTTCTAAGCAGCCAATAGCCAGGGTGGGTAAGGGGTGGAGACTGGAGTCCTCGTTGGCTGCTGCGCATGCGAGGCCGAGGCGGCCAGTCCGGTTCTGTGAGAAGCTAAACTAGAAGCATCGCACGGCCCAGGAGCCCTCTCCCAGGTCTGTCCCAGAGTTCAAAGCAGGGACTCACACAGACGTTCCCGCCAAGACCCCCTCAGGCATGTTCACAGCAGCACCCATCACAGTGGCCGAGGCGGAAACGGCCCAATGCCACCCACGAAGGATGAACAGAGCGTGGACTGTCCACACCAGGGTACCCCTCGGCGATAAGGCCGAGGACTCGCACACCCGCCCACACGGGCAAACTGGAGACACGACTGTGGTGGAAGGAGCCAGGCCCAGCAGGCACGCAGGCTGACTCCACGTCTATGGGATCAGCGAGGTGCGTGCACGGACGGGCAGTGCTGTGGGTGCCGGGACGTGGGAGGAGGCGGCAGGAGGGACTGATTGACGGACACATTTCCGCGCAGGGGCAGACGGGGCAGGACACGCAGGCTGCCCGACGCCCGCCGTCGTGCACTTCCAAAGGGTGAGGTGGTGCGTTTATCACAACAAAAATCAGCCTCGACAGGACTCTCAGCCTCGCCCAGAAGGAGGTGTTGGCAGATCGTGTGGATCCCAGAAAAGGTGACTCGGCAGGGACCGGAGGCGTGGCGCCTAGGAGCCGTCTCCGAGCTGAGTGCCAGCGCCCGGGTCTGCCCGCGCTGCACCGGCAAGCCCGGCGGGAATACGGCCGGGAGCTGCCAGGAGGCGCACCGTCCGAGCCGACCAGCACATCGGATTAACCCCCGGGTCCTACAGACCTGCAGGGACCGACACTCCCCTCTCATCTGATTCCAAAACCTCAACCAGGGGTGCACCCGCCCCCGTCTGTGGAGGGGCCAGGGGAGCCGAGGGACGCGGGGAGGTGGCAGCCCCTCCCGTGGGTCCTGGGGTTTTCACGCGCTGGAAGCCGCTCACCAAACTCCCCGCCGCCCGCGGGCTGGTAGAAGACGGTGTAGTTGCGGATGAAGCCGTTTCTCAGATGTTTGGGGATCTCTTCCCACCGGATGGTGACAGTGTTCACGCCGATGCCCTCCGCCTTGGTCACGGGACCTGCTGACGGGGCTTGACGAGAAGGGAGAGACTGTGAGCACCCAGCCAGCCCCCAGCGCCCTCCCCGTGGGCCAGGAGGTCACGGTTCGATTCCCGGTCAGGACACACGCCCAGGTTGCGGACTCAATCCCCAGAGGGGACGTGCAGGAGGCAGCTGATCAGTGATTCTCTCTCATCATTGATGTTTCTCTCTCCCTCTCCCTCCTGCTCTGAAATCGGCCGTGGCTGGACAGGCCCCGGTTCCCCCCAGCCCCAGGGCCCTCCCCCACACACCGCCTTCCTTGGCGTAGGCCTGGACAGAGCACGGCTTGCCCACACGGTCTTGCCACATTGGATACACGGAGATGTTATAGCACTGGAGAGGGTCTAATTCATCTGCAAGAGAGAAAGCAAGCATTACACGCAGGGCGTGGCAGATAGGAAGCGCTAGCCTGAGAGTCACGGCCTAAGACTTGCGCAAGCTCTCCTATTCCTCTAACGCCACCTGGAAAATGGGGAAGTGAGGTCGGAGGGTCTAGCATCTATTCCTGTCCTAACATTTTAAAATTAATTCTGAGAACGAGAGCTGCACCCTCTGACGAAAGGACGGGCCCCCCGGAAGGAGAAGTGAGACAGGCCCTTCTCCACGGGGCCCAGCTGTGGCGCAGGTGCTGTCCCTGCGCATCCTGTGCAGGCGGACGCCCTGGGCCCGGTCCTTGGCCGGCATCCCTGCAGGTGGAGGTCTCCCCTGCAGGACAGGTAAGCAGGAGAAGTTCAGGCTGATGGGTGGCTACGGCCTCACTCACGTCCCACACGGATCAGGGGCCTCCCTGAAGGGAAGGCCTTCCCGGCACCAATCCCCTGGGGAGGGGCCGGCTCTGAAACAGGGGCCAGACCGAAGGTGCCGGTCGGACAGATGGACCAACTCTGGGGCCACCCACACGGTCGGGGGTCTGGGAAGGCTATCTGATGTGCCCAGGCCTGGTCTGACCCCTGGTGCCCGTCCAGCGGCGCTGGGAAAGCCGAGAAGTGCGCGCCCAGCCCGTCAAGTGCTGGCACCACATTCCCGCCTGGGCCTCCGCAGAGGAGGTGGAGACAGTGAGAAGGAGCGCATCTCCTCAGGAGGCGTGGCTACCTCTCCGGATCGTCCAGTTCCTGGCCCCGGTCACCGCCTCCCAGCGCACGGTGGGGGGCTCGGAGTCCAGATCGGGGGACCACTCCAGCCTCCATGAGTCCACGTGCGGAGTGGAGTTCTGCCACGCCACCACCAGCCGGTCCTGCGAGAGGTGGGCCTGCACGGCCTCGACGCCCCGGAACGCTGCGGGCAGAGGGGCAGACCAGCCTCTGAATGCGTTCCCGCAGCCGACACCGCACACGCCCGCCATCGCCGCACACGCCCGCTGCCTCGGCGCCGCTCGCACCCGGGCCGTGGAGCAGGCAGGGCTCAGGGCCTCCCTGGCACCCCCGTGGCGGTGCCCTCACCCCCTTATGGTCCCTTCCCCGCCCACCTTCGCTGGTCGAGTGCCCTCTGACCTTCCCTTTTCTCCCAGAAGGTGCTCTCGCTGCGGCACTGAGACTCGAGGACTCGCCTTCGCAGGTGCCCTCAAGTCACAGGGACCGCCAGCCTGCGGCCAGAGGGAGCCCCTGAGGGTGGGTTCCCGGCTCCCCTGGGGCTGCGAGGGGGATGGTGACCCCAAATCGCACCAGGGCTTCAGGTGCCCACTGCCCAGGCTGGCCCCCACCCGCCAAGGACGCTCCTCCCGGGGAGACCTGCGTCTGCACCAGAAAGACACGCGTCCAAAGCACTGGTGCCGCCGGGGACCTGGCCGCGAGGACCCTCTCACAGAGAAGCTGAGCCCTGGCTTCCAGCCCAGGCCGGGAGGGGTCAGAGTTCACTCCAGCCCAGGCCGGGAGGGTCAGAGTTCACTCCAGCCCAGGCCGGGAGGGTCAGAGTTCACTGTCTATTGAAAGTGCTGTGAGCATCAGCGGGAGACCGCCCGCAGGTGCACCTGGCAACCCCGTCCCCGCCTCACCACCCACCACACCCCGGGCCTTCAGAACCAGAACCCAGTCCTGGAGGAGGCAGGAGAGGGGATGCTACCCCCACAAACCCCAAAGCTCTGACGCTGGAGCTGGGCCAGGGGGCAGGGTGTCCTGGGGCCGGGGGTGTGGCTCCTGCTACTTCCGGCAGCACCCGGGGTGTGGGCCCAGCAGCCTCTGCTCCACCGG